CCAGGCCCAAACAAACATAGGTCCCATGGTTTCCCATATTTGCAATAACTAGTATATGTCTGAGACAAGCAGAAAAGGTCAGATAAGTTGATGTTAGGTGAAATGAACCACGAGATAAGGACTCAAATGGTTTTTCTTTCTTAGGATTGTTTCTAACATATTTATAAGATGATTTTTTTGTTGCTTTGTATGCCCCTCCCCCACAGTATAAACCCTGCTTTCACTGTATTTGATGTTGGTATAATTTGTGGAGGGGAAGGGAAAAAACAAATCGTTTAAACAGGGATACAATGAGATGTACAAGTCGTAAGGTTGAAAAACAAAATTTACAACTTTGGCCAGAAGAAGGGGGGGAGGGGGGAGGCGATTGGAAGGGATGGGAAAGGGAAACAAAGGAGGAGGCAACAATGCTTGATAAGAAATGTACTCATTACCTTGCCCACGTAATTGTAACCCCTCTGTACGGTATTTTCACAATAAAAACATATGTTTCATTCAAAATGTGTACAAAAATCAATAGCATGTAATGTGAATCTCAAATGTTTTCTGTTCTTATTTAAATTTGAAGCTTTGTTTGAACAACTCCCCTGTATTAGAGGGCACAATGAACTAATTTGAAATAATGGTAATTATTTTGACATATTATATGAAAATCATACTCTATTTTAGTATGTACTTGCACATGTAATTTGTCAAAATGATAGAAATTAAGAAAATAAAAATTTGTTTTTTATTTGTTATTTTATTTGTTTGTTTTTTTAATTTTGTGCCACTGCATCTGAAGATTAATTATGTGAAATGTTTCTTCTGTGGTGATAAACCTGAAGAGCTCTAAATTTAGTGTTTATTTCAGTGGTTCAACAACTAAATCATGAATAAGATAATGAGCCCATTTCTTATTGAGAATTGTTACCCCCTCCTTTGTTTTTCCCCTACCATCCCTTTCCTCCCCACATCCCCAACCCCTCCCTCTCCCGCACCAAAGTTGTAAAGTTCATTTTCAACATAGTGTCTTGTACATCTCATTGTTGCAATAGGTCAACCTGTATCCTTATTTCAGAATTTTGTTATTTCCCTTCCCCTCCCCAAATTAGAAAAATGTATATATAAAATTCAGGGCACCAGAATCAAATGCAATGGCAACAGGTGTTATACCAGGGAGAAGAACATACAAAAGAAATTAAAAATCACATAGTACATTATAAATACATTAAAAACAAGAGCAACAAAGATAAAACCTTTTGTGTCCCTATCTTGGGGTTCATTTTGCTTAGCATTATCTTATATGGTCAATGTACATAGCTTTTGAACTATTCTGTTTATCCTAGATGTATACTAATTATTGCAAATAAGTGAAATTATGGGACCTATGTTTCTTTGGGCCTGGCTTACTTCACTTAATATAATTTTTTCCAGGTCTTTCCATTTCCTAACAAATGGGGTGGCGTCATTCTTTCTGGTAGAGGCATAGAATTTCATTTTATATACTCATGTAACTGTAACCCCTTTGTACAGTATCTTTGCAATAAAAATATACCTTAAAAGGAGAAAAAAAACAGTGATAACTCACTACACATAATGTTGGAAATGAACTCTACAACTTGCAGGGGAGGGGACCGTGAGGGGAAAAAGTGGGAGAAAATGAGGGAGGGTAACACTGTTCAAAAAGAAATGTACTTATTACCTGACATATAACTGTAACGTCTCTGCACATCACCTTTAGAATAAAATTAAGAAAGAAAAAAAGAAAACTAAAATCCAAAAGCAAACAAAAAGCAATCATAGTTTAAGTCACTGAAAAAAAAAACCATTTCTTTATTGAGAGTTCCCAATACCATATTCAGATAATGAAATCCATGATCTGAACAAAAGTGATATGTGAGCAAATAGCAAAAGAAGCAAGAACATGCACATTTTAAATCCTGTTATTCAGTGATTTAGCAACACTCTAGTCTTGACATCATGTGTTTCTAAGAGGAAAGCATGAACATCCATTATACAAACACCAATTTAAAAGCATAAAAACTTTTCAGTTTACAAAAGCAGATCTTTAGGCAAGAGATGAACAATAATTGTAATCTTATTTCTGCTTATAATCTTAGTAATCTTTGATGGTTATTGTTGTTCTATTATATATTTGTGATGGAAAGGAAAATACATTACAGGAAAAGAAGATGAAATATAGAAAGACAATTTGGAAGTGAAAGAGATTTGGCCGAATTATTTTAACATGCTTTACATGTATAACTATTGTTTTTCAGGAAGTATGACCATGTAATATTGTACAGAATTTATGATAGTAATATTAAGCCATACTAGAATGAGACTGGTCACTTTAGTACATTATATAGTCTTTTAAAATAATAAACCAAGTCCATAAATATAAGAAAATATTAATTTCCCATTTGTGTCTTAAATACTCATAGATTTCTGTTTGTGTTTGGTGTAATAATTAATTTTGATGCTCAATGAAAAACAAATATGAAAACAAATTCCAGAAAGGTAATGTAATTCCTGGAGTTGACACTCTCTAGCCTCTCAAATATAAGGTGAATTTCCAAGATGTAAAAACTTGGATCCTTTATGTTGCATTGATAGGTAAATAACATTCTCTGGAATTATGAAAAAATATTAATTGGACAAATAAAGTTTACGAATTCTAATTAAAAGATTATATTATACATGCTATAGCAACTATCATATCACAAAACCACTATAAGTCTCATAAATATTTTTCATATACCAACATACTTTTTCAAGCTATAAAGGTAAAGATATAGGAAGGATTAGGAGCTCAGGGTTAAGAAAGTTCTTCTGGAATGTGTCACATAATGATTGAAAACTGTATAATCACCAAACATTCCTATTTTCCACTCAACAGTAATTAATACCTATAATCCTAGCTACTAAAAAGGCTGAGATCAGATCATGGCAGTTCTAAGCCAGCCCAGGCACATAAATTTACCAGATTCTTACTTATATAACAGTAGATGTCTGGATCAAGTATTAGAATGCTAGCTGTGAACAAAGTAATATGAGTAAGAGTACAAGGCCTTGACTTCAGGCCTGGATGAGGGTGAGGGGGGTTTTACTTTCCTTTAAAAAAATTACTTTTCATCACTGTGATTCACATATGCATTTTCTTTAGCATGAAAAACAATGTCACACCATGTTTGCAACTCTTGGATGACAGCCCTAGCAGCCAAACCACAACAATCCCACACATAAGACAACACTTCAGACCTTAGCTAAAAAAGCAGAATGTTATGGAATCATATTTTTAGTACCAGTTTGACAAACTTAAGAAAATCTTCTTGCAAAATGCAAAAATACTAGACATTTGGGCAATCTTAAATTCAAATGGTTTCATTCAATTCATAAATTAAAACTGACTCAAATAACATAAAAATCTTTGAACCAGGAAACCCTAACATGGATTGTTTCTGCTGAATTTTAGGTGATATATATATATATATATATATATATATATATATCATTTCACTTAATTATTAGAATTTTCCCCCTTTTTAGACATGTGTGAGCTTTGCCTATGTAGACTAAAGAGATTTTTATCTTTAAAAAAAAGGTACATCAATAATTATTTGGTGATTGGTGGAATTTGCTTAGAACACTCAGTCCCTCTTATAAGTATAGATTACTCACAGGATTTATAATTTTTTCATAATGCTTTAGGAAATAGTACATACAGACCAGAAACACAGTGCCCTCTGGTGCACACAAAACATAAAATACAACACATAACAATGACAACAACGAAACCCCCCATACACATACGTACAATTTCAAAATAAAATTTGCTTTTTCCAATCTATGTAGGAATTGAAAACAGCTATCACTAAGAAATAATCTAAAGCAGTAACTTTACATTAAGCATTATATACCGCACAGATCAATACTATCTAGCTCATTTGGGTAACCACTTTCATACTCCCCATCAAATGAGTAAATTTAATGTGCTTTGAGAAAGCAAACAGACTGTTAAACAATATATGAATTGTGTGTGTCTTATTAAGATTTTAAATATGAAGGAGAAACAAAATTTAAATTCATATATCTTGATCCTCTCCTTTTCTTTCACTTGTACAACCATGTTCTATTCATCTCCTATTAACTTTAATTCATCCATTGTTGTCTCTTCCAGTTTCTGAATAAAAAAAAATTACTTGTCAGTTAAGAAAAGATGAAGTGGGTTTCATTCTCAAGGGTCTGAGATCTGAAAATCACAGTTTGACGTCACCTCGAACAACAATAACAAAAAAAAGATGATACTCTTATCGCCAATTAACCACCAAAAAGCAGGAAGTGGATCTATACCTCAACTAGTAGTAAGCCAGTCCTCGAGCACAATAGCTATGGGACAATGGTCGGACCCTGAGTTCAAGCCCAAGCAACACCACAAAAAAAGAGGAGAGAGAAAAAGAGGGAGGGAGAGAGAAAGAGAGTTTGAAAGAAGAGCAAGGAAAAATGAGGAGGAGGAGGAGAGAGAGAAAGCTGGAGGCCGAGTTGGGAAAGAAAGGGAGGAAGGGAGGAGGGGAGGAAAGGAGGAAGGGAAGAAGGAAGGAAGGAAGGAAGGAAGGAAGGAAGGAAGGAAGGAAGGAAGGAAGGAAGGAAGGAAGGAAGGAAGGAAGACCATTTAGTGAAAAAAAGTAGCATCAGTTGGTGTAAGTTAGAGAGGAAAAGCAATTTGAGAAATTTTCAGTTAAAATTACTGACTACTCTTAATGTGAAACTTAGCTTTAGATACTTGTATTAACTTAAAGGCAGTATAGTATATGAGAGTGATAAATAAGTGGTCACCATCATGTATTTTTTTTTCAAATACGTCATTCTTATAAGACATATTCTTTTTTAAATCGGAAGGAAACATTACCCATCGTGCATGGTCTATAATAAAAACCCTTCTGAAGATTTTCCTTAGAAAGACTTCATTTAAACACAACCTTCAATATATTTGTGATTGCTCTCCCTTGGCTTCATACCTGTATATCTTGTAACGTGTGCTAAATCCCTGCCGGCTTCGGTCGACAAAATCTGTGTATTCCTGTGAGCGATGAAAAGGTCCCTTATCAGAGAGGAGCCAATCGAAAGGGCTTGTGGCATGCTGGTCCGAAACAGCAGCAACCGCTAAAACCCAGCAATGAAGACTCAGTGCTATCCACTCCCATAGAGCCATCAGAGAGAACAATTCAACACCAGCTCTGCTCCGCCATATCATGCTTCCACTGCGGACGTAGAGCCTTCATTCTCTTAGCTTTCCTTCAACACCTAGACAAAACACAGGCAATTCGTTAGCCCCTGAAAGAACCATGGCTAGAATTTAGGGTACTGAGGTAGCTAAATTAATCTATTGTAATTGATTTAAATTAGATGATTGCAAAAGTGAACGAGAACCAAAACAATAATGTTCATCAGCACTATACATCATTCATATTTTGTATCCAAGTAATCTTTCATATTTTGTATCCAAGTAATGACAAATAAGTAATTAGGCCATAACAATATGACAAAACAATGTCGTCTAAGGGATTCTTGGAGCCTAGAGAATAGCCAACCAAAGGTACAAATAACATTCAATTTTTGTTTAAATATTTTTAATTAAATAGTGTGAAAATAGCATCTTGAAAAAAATTATGACATTTTAATACTAGGAATACTTAAATCTCTATTTCATATTTCAACTGACCTGCAGTAGGTAGCTATGTATTTTTTCCGTGATGAAGTTACATTTCACATATATTTATGAGTCTAAGAAACATTCATATAAAATATTTGTATGTTCATGTGTGTTCAGGAATGTATGTTGATGGATGAAACATGCATAGATAGATAGATGGAGTAATTGGTATGTAGATGTGTTTAGGAGAGCAGATGAAGTTGCACGAGAACAGAGTATGGGAGGGTAGATGAAGAGTAAATGTGTCCCCACAATATTAAGAATAAATTGCTATCCTGTTTATTTAAACAGTACATTATTATTTCTTGAGCCTTAACAATTTTGTAAATTTATGTTGTGTCTTGTTCATGAGATAAAAATAATTAGACTTGCTCAATTCATTTGCATACATAGACTAAGGAGTCCAATTGATTCAGTAACTGAAAATGCATGCACTCTATTGTAGCCATGGAAGAGTTAAGTCATAGACATATAATCCCAGGATGCAATCCCATGTGGCTTGAGATCAATAAGCATATTGATCTCAATGTGCTAATAAAATGATCCAGAAGCTTATGAATTCATTGTTAATTTCCATACTCATTATTTTAGTAATATTATTAAAAAATCCTCATTATTTTAATAATATTATTCATAAAATACAACTATAGAGTACATAGATTCTGACTAGTGTGGAAGATTTTGATGTGAGAATTTTAATAATCATTTTCTTATAACAATAAGACACAGCATTAAGTAAAAATTTTTGTAGTACATACTATATTTCTTTGGTGACGAGAGATAAATACTAATAGCTTAGTTAATATTTCTACTTATGTTGTTTTTAATTTAATTTTTTAATTTAATTGTAAGCTATTTGATTTTTATATAATTTTCAACTATAAAATACAGAGTACTTCCTCAAAATAGAGAGACAATGGGGGGGCTAATAATCTGATTCTACAAAATGAGAAAAGACCATCTGTACAATAGGATTGCCTCACTCACACACAGTACTCCACTTTCATGACTTACAAGTACTATGTTTTGTAAGCAACATAGGAAATCTTCATATTTGATAGTAATTTTGAGTGATTTATTCTAGGAAGACAGAAATATTTAGAAATAGATATTGAGAGATTCTGCATTTCACTTAGCTATGTGAATGCTACATTGCTAAATGCATCAACCCATGGAATTTCTAACTTTTACAAGAATATTAAATATGCTTCTATACAGTATTTGTTTCCTTTTCTTTATTTGCCATTTCTTTTTGGAACTGGGGATTGAACCCAGTGCTAGATAAGCAAGCACTCTGTCACTAAGCTACATCCCAGCCTGCATACTGTTTTACTTATATCCAAACAATCCCTTAAAATCCCACAATTTTTGTGTTGCATTTTTATTCATAATAAAATTCCTATGTAATAACATTACCTATAAGTACAATAAGTAGTACTTATTGATTAGAGGATGTATTCATAATAGATAAATGGCTATTTCATCTATCATAGATACATCCTCTAATCAATAGGTACTACTTATTGATAATTATAATCATAATAAAATATTAAAAATTACATGTTTTAACATTAAATATATACTATAATCATTAAGTATTACTTATCTTTGTGAAGCACTTATATTTTTTTATTCTGCTAATAAATTACATGAAAGTAGCAACATGTTATTACTCTTACAATAAAAAATATATGTTCTTAAGTTCTTTCTTCACAAATAAGGAAAAATAATTTTTTTTTTTTGGTCCGGTCGTGGGACCTGAACTCTGGGCCTGGGTACTGTCCCTCAGCTCTTTAGCTCAAGGCTAGTGCTCTACCACTTGAGCCACAGCGCCACTTCTGGCTTTTTTTTTTTTGTTTATGTGGTGCTGAGGAATGGAACCCAGGGCCTCATGCATGCAAGGCAAGCGCTCTACCACTGAGCCACCTTCCCAGCCCGGAAAAATAAATTATTTACCCACTATCTATTAGGTAAATATTAAATATCTAGTCTTAAAGGAAATAATTTTAAGTTAAAAGTAAATCATAACCATAATACCTGTATACAACTTTCTTTTTAACAACTTCGGTTAAAATAATAATAATAATATTATAATAATCACTATAAGCTTCTATTACAAAAAAGCTTAATGTGTACCATCTATGAGAATAGGCCTCAGAACCTGACGTCCTGAGTTGAAACCATAGATCCTCTACCAGATGTATGACCTCTAACAGTGGCATCAATTTTTTTGTGCCTTAATTGTCTCAGCTGTTAGAGTGTCACATCAAGAGGCTGCTAAATGTGCAGTATGTGTTGTTATTTCCAAACACCTAGACAAGTGCCTAGCACATGTTAAGCAGAGGCAGTAAATATTTTAAATTATACTTCATGTGGATATTAGATTATGTAATTGTACACAATATTTCACTCAAATATTTTTGCTGAAACACATGACTTTGGAGTATGCACTACTGAAAAAATAAAACACCATCAATATAGATGATGTTTAAGATCCTATTCTAAGACATTTTAATTTTTGAAGAGGTAATTAGCTAGAAGCATATTTATTCTGTTTTCATCAGTTGTTCTGAGGGAGATTCATATTTTCTCATTGTTAAAGTAAATTTTATTTTATATATTTCTGGCTACAACATGATTATATATACATACATATATTCATATGTACATATTCATAGATATGTATATATATGTACATATGTTTGCAACTTTAATATATGGGAAAATAGAAGCATTTTATACAATTATTTATATAGAACAGCCTAAAAGCATTATAAACAAATGTGTTACTAGTAAGTTTAATTCATGTATTTTTTTCTACTTCTGATACTTGGGTACAGTTTACTTTTTAATTTAACATATAGGACTATCAATCATGGTCAAAAATAAACTTATTTTGACCACTTCAAATGACAAAATTTTTGTTGGCTTGTTTTGTGCTGTACATTGGGCTTTAACTCAGGGTCACTCTAGCCACATCTCCAATTGTCATTGTTCTGTTTAAGAGGAGACAGAGTCTCCCCCAGACTTTACTGTCCAGGCCGACTTGAAATCACAATCTTCCATGATTCAACCTCCCTCCTGTGTAACTAGGATTTAAAGACACAGTGTAGCATTTTAAGTTCTCCTGAAATAGTTTTTGAGAAAAATTTTTGAGTTACAAAATAGAGGACAGAATTCATAAGCAAAAACTCTGTCTTCCAGTTTTCCTCACAATTAGTGCCCATTAGACTTAAAATTAACTAACAATTGGGCTTAATTTCCTTGTGGGAACAAAATTAGATAATTGCATGTGTGAATCATCTTAATATAAATAGCAATTTTTAAATTATCACTGAATGACCATAATTAGTTTTTTTGTTTGGATGAGTTAATAGCCATATCAACTCTTCTATAAAAGATGGATTTCTAATAAACTTGCCAATGTCAAAATATTAGATATTTGTAGCCAACAAGATGCTAGAATATTTGTTGATCAAAGCATGTAAAGTACTAATGTTTTACAAAGATGAAAAATCAAAAATATGATATAAAAAATGAAAATTAAGTTAATAGGTAAAGTCATTAACTTTTTATTTATTCTGTAGAGAAAATTATTTTAAATTCACTATCAGTGAATAAATGAATAATTGGACAACTAACAAAATGATAGCAATATACAATACCATTTGAGATATGGAAAGACACATTTTTAAAAACAAAATAAGAATAATAAATATTGAATAAAATAAAGCATTATAAAAAGTGAGAGAAATTATGTTTATTCTATAATATTTTATTTAAAAAGTATTATTGCTAGAATTTTCATTTTCCTGAAATCAAAATCAATAAAATTAAAATAAAAATGTCTACATATTTCAGTATTTAAAAGTAGATTTTTAGGACAAATAAAACTATTAGTATTTAAAAAAAATAATAGCATGATGATTGCTTCTCAATACAATTTGATTTGGAAAAAATCGAAGGATATTGAAAAAGTCTATGAAAACTTACAAAGAATGTATATAAACATATGAAAACATATAAAGGAAACATTTCAAAAGTATATTGTATACATCAAACTGTGTGATGTATACAATATTCTAGTATATAATAATTACTTTTCCTTAATAGATAGCTTTTATTTATTTCAAAGTGACCAGTCAAAAAATTATCTAAAATATTGATATGTTAAAAATGGCTGCATAGCTTAAATAGTAGTGCACCTTCTGTAAGCTTAAAATACTGATAGTCATATTTAAATTTAAATTTATAAAACTTTGAAATTTTCATAATGATTCATATACTATTGAAAGTGAATTTCTAATCTTGCTAAAAGTACAACAATATAAAAAAATATTAGGCCTAATTGAGCAATACCTCATATCATATAGGTTAGTAAATCATATCATCTTTTAGATTACAATGTCTAATTTTTGAATTTTTGAATGATTACTGCTTGTTAAACAATAAACATCAAGAAACTACAATTTCTGCCTGGTATTGGTCTTTCACTACTGTAATCCTGGCTATGCAGGAGACTGCAAATTGAGGATCATGGTTCAAAGCCAGCAAGGTTCAGGCAAGTCTGTGAGATTCTTATATCCAATTA